CCGCAGAACCATGTGTGTCATCTGAAGCCGCTTCCCCTGATAGTTTTGTGTCCAAGTACAATTTAAAATCTATGATGCAAAAAAAAAAAAAAAAAAGGGACACCTGGGTGGCTCCGTCGGTTGAGCATCTGACTTTGGCTCAGGTCATGATCTCGCAGTTTGTGGGTTCAAGCCCCACGTTGGGCTCTGTGCTGGCAGCTCAGAGCCTGGAGCCTGCTTCGGATGCTGTGTCTCCCTTTCTTTCTGCCCCTCCCTTACTCACACTCTGTCTCTCTCTGTCTCTCAAAAATAAATAAACATTAAAAAAAAGTTTAAAAATCCATGATGTGGTTACCAGACTCAGAACCGGCCGGCACCCCAGAACGTGCCAGCCCAGGAAGCTTTGCTGCGGCTGCTTCCTCAGACCCAAGGATTTGGTGGCCTTTGTGCTTCTGGTCTGAAAGGCAAGATCAGAGGGGCCTGCCTGACTCGAGGGGGTCGATCTTTTCACCAACGGATAGGAGAATGTACTTTTCATCTGTGCAGGCCTGGCTGTGAGTCAGGGGAACTGCCCCTTTCCAGGCCTCCCCTCTCTGCCCGCCCTCCACGCCCTTCTGGACGCCCCCAGGATTCACTGTCCTTCCCGAGCAAGTCTGCTTGTGCGGCTGGTGACGCTCTGCCTCTGGTACTCAAGTACAGACAGAAGTGTCCCCACCCTGTCCGACCACCGTGTTGTCATCGGGAAAAAGGGTTGGAGGTTGTGTTTCTGAGATACATTTTGGCTTTAATGTCATTTAATCCAGTTAATCTGAGTATGGCTTCAGGCGAATGTGCTCCATCTCCCAGGCTTGTGTGTACTTCAGATCGCATTTGTCGCAGTGGAAAGAAAGGTTTTCTTTCCGGCTAACCAGACGGGAGGGGTGCGCGTCCGCCCTCCCTCTGCTGGCCCGGGAGCGGCTCGTGGCTGCCAGCACCTGAGCGAGCCCAGGGCTGTTTTGAAGGCGCGAAGTTGCTGGCAGAGGCCTGGGACTCCTGTCTTGCTGGGCTGACCCGCCTTCCAGGCTCTGGACTTTTGAGGGCACCCTGGGCCAGAGCCACTAATGTTTCCGGGTCCTGGGCCACCCCCGACGCGGGCTAGATGCGCAGCAGCTGTCTGGGGGGGTGGTGATTGAAGGCGGCAGCAGGTGGCCCCGCGCCCAGGCCAGCCTGCCCAGCTGCGTCCGCCATGGTCCGGGATCGCGCCGTGTCCTGGCAGCTGGAGCACCGGCTGTTTCTAGCTGCTCTCCCCCCGCACCCCTCCTCCCAGCTCTCTCACCAGGGGCTGGAGACAGCTGTCGGCTGGGATGGCTGTCCTCATGTCCTGGACAGCTCAGCGGGGGATGGGCAGGCAAGTTGCCGGGAACTGGGCCCTCCCCAATGGGATCCAGTCACCCCCACACTTACTTCACCCCCTCAGGAAAGGCCGTATCTGTGGCCGTCTGTATGGGGCCCTGTGCACTCCCAGCCGTCGGGCGATGGCGTCAGGTGGCCCCTTCCAATGTGGGGACACGTGCCTGCTGCATCACCTCGGTCCAGGCCTGGCCCGGCCGCAGGCCAGCTCACTCTCCTCCCGCAGGCGTCTGGTGCGTCTTTGCACAACACAGCAGCCTCGGGGTCGTCACCTTCCTCCTGCCTGACCCGCCAACCCTCGGCCCACTCGCCCTCTCCCACCTGCCTGTCTCCCGCTGGGGTCGCGGGGCTCCCACTCCAGCTCCTCCGGGCGCACCAGGTCCCAGCCCGCACCCGGCCCGGGGCAGGCAACACCCCCCCCCGCCCCCGTTCTTTCTCCGCGCTGGGCCTGCTGGGGGGGGCGGCGGCGTTGTCCTTCCCGGAGAGGAGACCCACCTTCCAGGGGCCGTGCTGAGGGAGCTGGTCCCCTGAGCCAGCACCTTCCCTCCTGGTAGCCCCGTCCCTGGCACTGGGGAGGGGGGGGGATGGTCTCTCCCTCAAGTCCCAGCGCTTTGTCTCACGCTCTTGCACGGTCTCCCCCAGGCACGCCCCCACTCGTCCAACAGCTGGATGGGGTCAGGACACAGTCGGTACCCGGGGAACAGCCTCCCCTCGGCCCCTGACCCCGTCCCTCCCCCCTGCACCAGACCCTCCATGGCCCTGGCCAGCTGCACCCCCAGCTCCGCCTACACCCAGCCCCTTGCCCGGGCCCTCGCTGGGTTTGCACACCTTCCTCCCTCTGGTACGTGCGCACCTGGCTGTGGTCAGCACGGGACGCTCGGCCCCTTCGCGCCGTGGGCTGGCTCGCAACCCCCCCCACGCCCAGTGCCCGACTGTGTGCCCCTTCAGCACGAGCCAGTGGCTCTTCCTCCCTCCTCCCCGCCCTCCTCCTCCTCATAGCATCGGGATCCTTGGGGGCGGCCGTGCGGTGTGCTGGCCCCTGCCAGGTAGGCACCCTGCCTGCCCCTTCACCCCATCGCCAGCGGTGCCGGTGAGCCCGCGGGCATCACGGCTCCTGCTGTCCCAGAGGGACGAGCCTGAGGGGTGAGGTCATGGGGTTCACTCTTCTGCCAGGGCAGAGTCTGAGGGCCCTGTGTGGGTGGCCTCCCCTGTACTTCCTGAGAAGGCCCCCACAGGGCAGCAAGACCCCCCGGGGGCTGGGGGGGGGCCTGCAGGGCCAGCACCCCTGGGGAGGGGGAGGGGGCCGGGCAGTGGGTGGCTGAGGAGGTAGAGCTGCTGTGCGGTCCTGGGGGACACCGGCTCAGGCCCGCGGGGCGATGTTGGCCGGTGTCGATTCAGGCGGTGCCTTTCCCGTGAGGTGCAAACTCTGTGGCTCCCGTGGGTGCTCAAGGCCGTGCCGCATCCACCCTTCTGTGCGGAGACCCCAAATAATGCTTCCTCGCTATAATCAGAAAGGGTACCAGGGCCTCACACGTAGGTGAGAAGAAAGCCCCTCCGGGGACCTACAGACCCCGGGATCTAGGGAGCAGATGAGCCCGGGGGCCGCCCCCTGCCTCCCCATGAGCACGCAGGCCAATGCTAAGTCCTGCCAGACACTCAGGAATCAGGCGGGACCTCGTTTCACTAGTGAGGCTCTGCGGACCCCGCCGTGGGTCCACCCAGAGTGGAGTCCGAGGGCCTCGGCCCCCACCTTGGAGACGGTGTCCTTGGCCTCGATGAGGGGTCAGGAGGTACATCCGTCACCTTGCCCTGACTTTCGCCTGTCACTAGTTTGTGCTTGCTTGTTCATTGCTTTCTTCCGCTCAGCGAAGGGTGGTCGTCAGAGCAGGATCCTGGGTGGGCCCAGCGCCAAGCCTGCATTAGTGAAGCAGTAACACCCCGAGCCGTTGAGGCCGCTGGGCGGTGTGGCCTCAGGACATTGTGAGTTAGTAGGGGAGGTGCCTGAACCCTGCTCTCAGCCGCACTCCTGGGTGTAGGGAAGGCGTGAATCCTGGGGTTGCCTGGCTGGCTCTGTTGGTAGAGCATGAGACCCTTCATCTCGGGGTTGTGAGCTCAGGCCCCATGCTGGGTACAGAGATGACTTAAAAATGGAGTCTTTAGGGGCGCCTGGGCGGCGCAGTCGGCTAAGCGTCCGATTTGGGCTCAGGGTCATGATCTCACAGCTTGTGAATTTGAGCCCCGCATCCAGCTGTGTGCTGACAGCTCGGAGCCTGGAGCTGCTTCGGATTCTGTGTCTCCCTCTCTCTCTGCCCCTCCCCTGCTCCCAGCCTGTCTCTGTCTCTCAAATATGAAAAAACATTAAAAAATAATTAAAAACAAAAACTCAGATGCTCATGCAGGCGAGGACGCAGGCCAGAGCGGGACAGCGTTGGATCTCAGTGCCGTAAGCCCCCCGCAGAATGACCGGGGGAGAAAGGGCACCTCTGAGGCTGTCGATAACCGTCCCTGGTTCAAATCCCGTGCAGCGTCACCGCCTCTGGGGCACTGCTTCTCGCCCAGTCCCTCCCTCCTCTGACCTCCTCGAACCTCACACTTGCCACCTGCGGCGCCCAGTGGTGCCTGGTCGCCTTCCTCCTGCCATGCAGACCTTTCTCGCAGTTACAGTTGGCATCTCCCTGGCACCCCCAGAGCAAGAACCCCAGGGCGTTGCGAGCCTTTGCTCCTTACGCAGGAGGTCCAGGAGGTACTTCCCAGGGGTGGTGACTGAGATGTACCTTCGGGCCCTTCCCGTGTGAACCAGGTCGGGAACGTGGTTCATTTGCCAGGTGGGAGTCATTTAGGGAAAGTGTTTTCATGGGTAAACAGGAACGTTTAAAATCAGCCTGTGGGTTTTCCCGTAAATGATGCTTTCAAAGTGCTGGGGGATGGTTTGCGTTCATTAGAAATGCAGATTAAGTAGACTCTTTGGCCACCTCCTCTAAAATTGCTTTAAAAACCCTTCTTTCGTTCATTGAGCTGCTGGCTCACATGGATGGGGCGCAAGTGAGCGGAATTCTTTGTAATGTTAGTGGCCCACGGGTAAGGACGCGCTGTGCGCAGATGACAGCAACGGGGCCAGGTGTCCTGGGAATGTCATTATTAGGAAAGCTACGGGTGGTTGGCGTAGCATTTCCGGCAGTGGGACACCCCGAGCCACGCTGCCCCGGAAATCCTGCCTGGGATCTGGCCCTGAGCACGGGGCTGGACCTCTCTGGAGCCCCTGTCCCTTCCTGGCCGATTTCTCAGCCTGCTTCTGCGTCTCTGGCTCTGAGCTGAATGAAGATGGTTACCAGCTGCCTTCCGCTCAGCCTCAGAGCACTTTCCTGGATCTTCTTCTTTTTTTTTTTTTTTTTTAACTGTTTTTGGCATTTATGGATTTTTGAAGGAGAGACTGAGCGGGGGAGGGGCAGAGAGTGAGGGAGACACAGAATCTGAAGCAGGCTCCAGGCTCTGAGCCGTCAGCCTAGAACCGACATGGGGCTCGATCTCACGAACCTCGAGATCACGACCTGAGCCAAAGTCAGAGGCGTAACCGACTGATCCACCCAGGCGCCCCATGATGGATTTTCTTTTAAAGCTTTTTCCTTTCTCAGGAAGTTTCCAAAAACCTCACCAAGGAAAATGAGCAGATCAAGGAAGACGTGGAAGAAATCCGGACGGAGATGAACAAGAGGGGGAAGAACTGCTCCACGAGCCTCCTGGGAAGCGTGCCCGACGTCCGCTCGGCCTTGCAGAGGGACGCGGCGGCCGCCTACACGCACCCCGAGGTACGGCTCCCTGGAAGCACGCGCCAGGTGCTCACGTGAGCGCAGAGCTTTGCAGGGTGTGACTCTCTCACGGTCACGGCCTCGTTTTATCTCAGTGGCGGCTCTGCAGGGTTGATGGGGCCGGGCTGACCCCACGGTACGTGAAGCCCACGGGGCCCCGTGAGTAAGGGTTGAAGCCCCAGGACTCTTGAATCCCCAGCCCTGCTCTTTTCATTGTACCCCGTCAGCCTCAGTGAGCCTCCCTGGCACTAAGGAAGGAGGGCTATGCAGGTGGTTCCCTCCGCCGTGCGGCCTCCACGCGTGCGGAACACACCGAGGCATGCTCGAGGCAGGCCCTGCTCCAACAGGAGGTGGTGGCGGGGGGCTCGGGCCCCTGTCTGCTCCCACCTAGTCGCATCCCGGCGCGAAGTCACCGAGGCACGAAACGCAGGGCCGTCTCACACTGTCTGCAGTGACGCCAGAGGACCTGCTTGCTTAAAAAGGCCCCCATTTTAAAAAAAACGCCCCCCCTCGGTGCTGGTTTCTTTCGGCTTGAGCTAGTAACTTGTGCTGCACGTGGCCCCGCGCCGTCCCGTGGCTGCGTGTGTTAGCACTTCACGTGCTGGCGGTCCCCGAGGTGGAGGCCCAAGAAGCAGTATCCGTTTGGGAGCCACCCCAGGAGAGCAGAAGAGGAAACGGGTACATTTCAGTGGCAGGATTTGAAGGGCGTGGGATGCAGTGAATGAGCAGGTCTGGTAAGAGGGTCCCTGGCAGCCAGGGCGGACGGCAGAGCCTGCATTCCAGGGGTGCCGCTGTGGTGTCCCCAGGGCCCGGGCGGCGGGCCGGGTGTGAGGGAGGGGGCAGGGCCTTGGACGCTCAGAGCCCCGAGCTGCTCTCCCCTGCAACGTGGAGAAGGGCCGGGCATTCCCACATAGGACCCCGTGGTCCGGGCCACTAGGACCTGACCAAGTGGGGGACGTCTGCCGGTGCTCGGGACGCCGGAAACCCGTGAAAGAGACGCCAGGCGGGCCGCCACTGTGGGCCAGGGGAGTCCCAGGCCCGTGTGCTCGGAAGGCAGGGCAGCGGGCCGATTAGGACCGTGGGGGGCAGAAACCCCGAAGACCGAATGGTGCTTGCACCCTGCCTGAGATGTGGCTGAAAGTAAAGCCAGTTCCAAAGCAGACAATGAGTATCAGGAAGGCCAAGAATTTTCTGGCTTTGCCCATGATGACTACTTTGATGATTTTTTTGGAAATACCATATTTCTTAAGCAATCATTTATATTCTCATTTTTAGTTGTCCCCAACGCGCGAATTGCTGAGCATATATTTAGTCAGCGTCGTGGGTCATCCTTGAACAAGTCCGAGCTTATAAAACTTTTTTAATGTTTATTTTTGAGAGAGAGAGAGAGAAAGAGAGAGACAAAGCACAAGTGGGGGAGGGGCAGAGAGAGAGGGAGACACAGAATCCGAGGCAGGCTCCAGGCTCTGAGCTGTCAGCACAGAGCCCGACGCGGGGCTTGAACTGATCTGAAGTTGGACGCTTAACCGACTGAGCCGCCAAATCTTTGATTATAAACCAAAAAGCTGAGGACTTGTAGGCTGGAGGGGAACATGGAGGTGCCCTTTCCCCACACCTGGGACCCTGCAGCCCCTGTCTCGGCCCGTCTGGCATCTCCCGCTAGCCTGGCGCCCGGCGGAGTCGGGCACCCCCTGCCCTCTCTGGCTCCCAGACTCCCAGCCGGCTGAGCCTGAGAACTCGTCTGTTGTCTTGATGATACATTACGTGGGATGTTCAGCCACTCGGCTCATATTTCCTGAGGGCAAACACTAAACCAAATCAAACACACCAAACCCGTTTTCTCCTTGCTCAGCAAAGCCCTTTCCCCTCCTGAAATCCCCATTCAGCACGCTGCTGAAGTGAGCACAATCCGCCCATACCAGGGAGGTGGGGGTAGAGCCGGGGCCAGGGAGGGGCAGGAAGGGGGGAGCCCAAGGCTAGGATCTTCCGGCCCCCCCCTTCATCTTTGTCTCTGTAGCGAGCCCCGTGCTGCCAAAGGGGGCCAGTGGGGTGCCGGGTTTGGTTGTTATTTTCAGGGTTCTTGTAGGTGAGGTTGGGGTTTCTCCGAGTGCTGAAGGGCCATTTGTTGGAGGCCTCTCTCCAAGAAGGTCCTTGCCTGGAGGCTTGGCAAGGGGCTCTGGGGGCCGGGTTGGGAGTGAGGACACAGGGACGCCAGGAGTTGAAGTCATACCGACAGGCTCTTGGATTCACAGAGAGGAAATCAAAGCATGGTGGGGGCAGCTGCCACCCAGCGCAGCCTGTCGCCAGCGAATCCAAGGAAATTATATGTTCTCTGGCAGCGGCTGCCGGGGCCTTGCTCCATCTCCTTGGCTGGGAGAGGGCTCTGCAGCTCCTGCCTGTCCCGGACAGCCTGGAATTAAAGGCAGTTCCTGGGGTTTACCATGAAGAAATGACAACCTGCTTCTGCAATGCAGAGGGAGGCCAGGGGCCAGCAATTAGCCGGCCCACAGCGGCTGAGTCAAGCGCCTGGGGCCTCTTCTCAGCCCCCCAGCCTCCCTCCCCAGTGGGAAGTGAGGGATCCCCAAGTCTGCTGGGCACCAGCCAGACCACGGCCCTGTGGGTTCGGGGATGTAGACGAGTTTTTGGAGCGCAGGGAAGTCAGTCCCACGGTCAGTGCCGTGGGCAGCGCGGCTCAGTGTCGGGAAGCGCGTTGGCTCTAGACAGCGGCCCTGGGCCTAGTTCGGAAGCGCCCCCCTCAGCCGCTTCAGGATGGACCGTCAGCAGAATTGCTAGATGGCCCTGGGCTCCTGTTTCCTTATTTGTAGACTGTGGGTCATGCTGTCCCCCTTGCCTCATTGTTGTAAGGGCTAAAAAATAACATAAAGGGACGCGTTTGGTCACAGTGGGAGCCTGCTAAAATTCGTCACCACGGGCCACGTATCCCTCCATCTCTTGTCAAGCTCAGCTCACCAGCAAGAAACGGGAATGGGGGAGGGGCCACGTGGCAGGAGTGGGGGCTCCCCCCGCCACATGCCTGCCCCTTTTCTAGAGAGCTCCCTGGCCCCGGCCCGGGGCGGCTGGCAGAGAGGTGCCTTGCGGAAGTCGGTCCCCACAGGATGCCCGGAGCACGGAGCTGCCGTGTCTGCCCGTCACCTGGTTCGGCTCTTTTGTCCCGGGAAAGCCAGTGCGGCCCTGGGGGGCGTGGTCGGGAAGGACTCCAGGTTTTCTCCAGGCGAGATTTTTAAGGTCAGAACAAGCGCCTGGTTTGCTGCTTCTTACGCAGAGTGAGAAAGTTGGCCATTCCGCCTGGGTTCCCTCCAGCTCCGGTTCTGTGACCCTGAAGGCCCTGCCCGGCCTCTCGGGACCCTGGGGCTCTGGGGATGGAGGTTCTGTTTCTCCGTGGGCTCTGCTGCTCTGGGTAGAGTTCCCTGGGGACAAAGGAGCAGGTTTAGGGGAGCTTGCCCATGGCTTAGGGGGCGACAGGAAGCCCCCCCTCCGGTATTCAGCCCCTGGAGTCCTCCCGGGGGCAGGTCAGAGCCACAGCCCTCGGGAACTGTGGGTGGTCCTGGCTTCGAACTCAGTTCCCAGGAACCTGTGCCCAAAGTCCGTTGTTTTCAGTGGTGGGTGATTGTGAGCCTGGGTTGGGGGCGGGCACGTGACTAGATGGGCCAAGGCAGGACCCAGAGAGCATGCCACGCCGGGGACACCAGAGGGCATTCCCTGGGCGGCTCCGTGGAGGACAGGGTGGTTCTTCTGTGTGACCAGAACCGTCACGGCGGTGTCCTTGTGATGCCCTCAGGATGCCCAGGTCCGGGTGCCCGGCTGGCTCAGTCGGAGGAGTGTGCGACTCGGGATCTCAGGGTCATGAGTCCAAGCCCCACGTTAGGTGTGGAGATTACTTAAATAAATGGAACTTAAAAAAAAAAGATGCCCGGGGCATGGGCTGACTACTTTAAAGCATCCCAGTGCCAGTCACATATGTAGGCCGTTCCTTTAGATTTGTTCTGATTAAAAAATCCAGCGTAACAGATGCCTGGGTGGTTCCATCAGTAGAGCAAGCGACTCTCGATTTGGGGGTCGTGGGTTCGAGCCCCATGTTGGGCACAGAGATTACTTAAAAGAAATTCAAAGTTGGGGCGCCTGAATGGCTCAGTCAATTAAGCGTCCAACTTCAGCTCAGGTCATGATCTCATGGTTCATGGGTTCGAGCCCTGCGTCGGGCTTTGTGCTGACATCTCAGAGCCTGGAGCCTGCTTCGGATTCTGTGTCTCCCTCTCTCTCTGACCCTCCCCTGCTCGCTCGCTCGCTCGCTCTCTCTCTCTCAGAAATAAATAAAAAACATTTAAAAAAAAAAGAAATTCAAAGTAAACATTACGGAACACCCGCTCAGGAGAATCCAAAATGAGCAAGAGGTGATTGCTATCTTTCTAGTTCCTTATAGTCTACAGAGACAAATTATTATTTTTTAATTTTTAATGGTTATTCATTTTTCTTCTTTTTTTAAAATATTTTTTTAATGTTTTGTTTATTTCTGAGAGAGAGAGAGAGAGAGAGAGAGAGAGAGAGACAGCGTGAGCAGGGGAGGGTCAAAGAGAGAGGGAGACACAGAATCCGAAGACAAGCTCCAGGCTCTGAGCTGTCAGCACAGACCCCGACGCAGGGCTCGAATCCCGAACCGTGAGATCATGACCTAAGCTGCAGTCGGATGCTTAACCGACTGAGCCACCCAGGCGCCCCTAATGGTTATTCATTTTTGAGAGTGAGAGGGAGGGGCAGAGAGAGAGAGAGAGAGAGAGAGAGGGAGACAGACTCTGAAGCAGGCTCCAGGCTCTGAGCTGTCAGCACAGACCCCGATGCGGGGCTCAAACTCATGAACCTTGAGACCATGACCTGAGCCGAAGTCGGACGCTTAACAGACTGAGCCCCCCAGGTGCCCCCACAGAGACAAATTCTTAATGCCCACGGAAGGCAGGCTGGGAGAGGGGCTGTGATCGAAGTATAGACTTGGGCCCATTAGAAGGCCTGCGTCTGCTGTTGGTTCACGTAGGAGGGTCCCGGAGGCAGGCAGAGCTTGGCCGGGCGGCTGACGACATGAGGCCCTCGGTGATGCCTGTCCCCACAACCCTCGTGGTACAAGGTGGTTTCAAGCCAGACCAGTTAGGAGGAGCAGAAAGATGCCTTCCAGCCGGCCCAGCCTCCCTTTCAAGGAGCTTTTTTCCAAAAGCTCTTTCCGTCGACTTCCACTTACGCCCCACCGGCCGGAGCTTCGTCCCGTGGCCGCTCCCACAGAGCCAGCTTCCGCTCAGAAAGGAACGAGGAGGCGGGATTTACGGGGTCAGCTAGAAGCCTCTGCCACCAGGTGCAGGGTGAGAATTGGGAAAGAAAGGTGAATTATGAACAGAAGGGCTGGGACTGTTTTCCTGAGGATGTGAGATGTTAGCCAGGCCTTGAGAAATGGGTAAATTATGACAAGTAGCTGGAGGGGGAAGTGAGGGGCCTTCCAGACGGAGAAAATGGCCGAAGCACAGGCCCAGCAGCTCAGGAGAGCCGAGAGTTGGAGGAGTGAACCCGGCCGGGCACTTAGGACTTTATTCTGGGGCCACCAGGGAGGGCGTGGGGCAGTTCCTTCTGATGGAGGAAGGTGAGGCTTCACCCCGAGGGGTGCATCTCGGTTCTCGGGGCTCATGTCCAGCCTGGGCACGTTGCCCCCGCACGGACCTCCCCGGAAACAACTGAGACGGGACCTTAGTCGTGCACAAGGGACACACAGGCGTGGAGGTTACAGAGACGCGTTCTGGAGCCACACGGTCAGGGTTCACATCTTGCTGGTACCACTTACCTGCTGTGGGACCTTGGGCAATTTCCATAACCTCTCTGTGCCTCAGATTCCTCATCTGTGAGTGATAAAGAGACTCAGGGGAAGGTCCCCTGGCGTAGGCAGAGCGCGCAGGGCAGTGCGGGGCCGCAGCGTTGCCTCCGCCGCCCGGCTCACCGGTGACCTGGCCTCCCCCTGTGTCCCCTCTGAGCAGTACGAGGAGCGCTTTCTGCAGGAGGAGACCGTGTCCCGGCAGATCAACTCCATCGAGCTGCTGCACGCGCGGCCCCTGGCCCCGCCCGAGGTGGGGAGGCCCCAGCAGCCCCTGCGCCGGCAGGTCCACGTGCGGGGCCGGCCCGCCTCCCGGCCCACCGTCATCCGGGGCGTCACCTACTACAAGGCCAAGGTCCCCGAGGAGGAGAACGACATCGAAGAGCAGCGTGAGTTGGGGTCAGCAGGGCCACCCCAGAGGCGGGCTGGGGAGGGCATCACCGTTGGACCCCGTGGAGCTGCCTGAACTCTGAGCCGCACGCCCCTTTTGGGGCCCGAGTACCACGGTGGCCTCTCGGGGCCAGCTGGGCGGTGGGACAATTGCCTGCAGTTGCTAATCACCCAGAGCTCCTGCCGCACCGTCTCACGGTTTGCTGAGCAGCTTTGGGCAAGTCACTTGACCTCTCTGGGCTTGCAGAGGATCACACAGCAGAGCTGTAAGGGACTTCTGTGCCCCCCAGGCCTGCTCTCCCAGTTTGCAGATGAGGACACTGAGGTTTGGAGGTGGAATGATGTACTCAGACCAGCACCCCCCACCCCTGCAGTGCTGGGGCTTCTACCTGTCCCTGCCTCCCCTGGGCCTCTCCCTTGTCCCTTCTCATAGTTTAAGACCACCTAGCTGTTGGTGTAGTCACTTTCCCCATTAAAAAAAAATTTTTTTAATGTTTATTTCTGAGAGAGAGAGAGACAGAGCACAATAGAGGAGAGACAGGGAAACAGAGAACCCCAAAGAGGCTCCAGGCTCTGAATTGTCAGCACAGAGCCCGACGTCGGGCTTGAACCCACGAACCATGAGATCATGACCGGAGCCGAAGTCAGACGCTCAACTGACTGAGCCACCCAGGCGCCCCTTGCCCATTTTTAACCATGTTTGTTGTCTTTTTAAATTAGTGACTTATGGGATTTTTTTTGTTTTACATACTCTGGAATAAGTCGTTTGTTAATTGTACGCACTGCAAGCGTTTTTGCCCTGCCCGTGGCTTCAGTTCCTTAATGGTGGTTTTAACAAACAGATGGAATGCGGTTCACTCTTTATTTCATCTGTGGTTAGACTCCGTGTCCTAAGAGAGCTTTGCTGCCTCATATTCGTTGTCTGCTCAGAACCCCGCACAGTCCCGTCATGCACAAAAACTCCAGTCCAAACGGCACCCAAACCCCATGTGACGTGGCTCCTGTGTCCTCTCTGAGGTCGCTTGTTACCCTCCCCACACACCCCCACCCCTCCCACGCTGGCCTCTGTTGCTCCCCAGCCTCCGCAGGCAGGTTCTGGCCTCAGGGCCTTTGCACTGCCGCTGTTCTCCCCAGAATACTCTTCCTCTGCTGGCTGCTTGGCCAAGTCTGTCACCTCCTTTGGGACTCTGCTCATGTCTGATCCGACCACTTGTCCACTACTGCCAGTCTCCTCTCCCCTCCCCTCTGCCTGGAGGTGCCACGCCCCACTCCCCTTTCTCCCCCAAGCTGGTGGAGCGTGCTGTCTGCCGAGTGCCTGCACCGCTGGACAGAAGCCCGTGAAGGGGAAGGATGTCTGTGCTGCTCACTTTGTTGCATATGCCCCATACGTGTCTGCAGGGGGAAGGGACGGGAGGGGGGGCTTCCTCCCACGCGGTCGAGGCTGCATGTCCTTCCAGTGCCCTGGGGACGGGGCGGACCTTGGAGGCAGCCTGTTCTGAGACTGCGGGAGACGCGGATCCCCCCCCCCGGCCCCGCCTTTGCTGCTCCCCACCTTCCTCTTCTGAAACCCCAGCCGCTCCGTCCCTGAGTCAGGCTGTCGTGTTGAGGAAAGAAACCGGGTACCAGTCCCGCCGGATGCCACCCGCCCTTGGTGCTCTTGTCCCCAAGTCACAGATGACCCTGTGCTTATTTCCCAGAAGATGAGTTTTTCAGCGGTGAAAACGGAGTGGACCTGCTGATTGAAGATCAGCTTCTGAGACACACCGACCAGCCCACCAGCGCCACCCGGAGGCCGCTGGCCACCCACGGGGGCCCCACTGGGATGAGCGACACGCAGACCTCAGCCCCGGCCTTGTCCTCAGACCCCGGCACCCCCGAGCCCACCCTGTCCCCCTCAGCGGGGCAGCTCCCACAACCACTCCAGACCTCCTCTGTGCCCCCCGGTGCCACGGCGGAGGCAGGTCTGGAACCTTCCACTCAGGTACCGGCCACCACCGTGGCCCACACAGCCACCCAGCAGCCCCCGACCTCCGCCTCCGTGCCAGGGGCCTCCGGGGACGCATCCACCGAGGCGCCACACGCAGTCCTGGTGCCTCCCACCACGGTCCACACAGACTCGCCGGGGAGAGATGCCAGCACGGGGCGGAACGGGGCCTCCGCCAGCCCCACGCTGAGCCCGGAAGAGGAGTATGACATCCGGAATGTCATAGGTGAGTGCCTTCTGCTGGCTCCCCGCGTCCTGCCCGGCGCCGTGGCAGCGAGCCTGGGGGGCTGAACGGAGAGGGAGGAGCCAGGTGGTCAGACCTCTCTGGAAAGGAAAGCGAGTGGAGCTAGGCTTCCAGCCAGTGATGAATGTTAACATCTCGGGTTTGTGGGCCCAAAGTGAGCCGGCGAGCCGAGTGGGAAGCTCGTTTCCAAAGCAAATAGAGATCCGCGGAGCCGGGGCCCTACGGCGTCGGGCGGCCCCATGAACCCCTGCGGTGTGCTCTCCTGGCGTGGGGACCGGGTGCTTGGCAAGGACCAAGTGAAGTTTTCTGCAGAAGCTTTACCAGGCCACGAAATATCAAGGGGTTCTTATTTGTGGGGCCGGGGGGGGGACCCCAGAGTAACGGAAACGAGGGGGCAGGGGAATAACTAGTACCACGGGCCCCAGGGCCCAGTCTCATGAACGGCGGCCCTGGACACAGAGGGACGTCGCCGCCCCATGTGGTAAAAGCTCTCACAGAGGCGGACGGAGAGGGGAGCACCAGCGTGGCCCGATGCCAGGAAGGCCGGGGAAGCTTCCCTGAGGAGGTGTCATTGAGCTGGGTTTTGATGGATGAACAGGAGTTTCCTAGACAGAGAAGGGAAGCGTTCTGACTGTTGGGCCTGAAGGAGCAGAGGATGTTCCAGAAGCACGGAGAGGGCAGCTCTATTCTGTGCCCCGTTCTGGGGGCTCGGCGGCCACACGGGGACTCCGGGAACCACGGAACGTGGGGTGGGGGCAAGTCACCAACAGAAGGAGCTGGGAGCTCCGGGTGTTTCTCCCAAAGAGAACTACACCCGACGCTAGTTAAGTCACCACTGGTAGTGAGTGAAAGGACTGTTGAATCATAGTTTCGTCAAAATGCTTGTTGAAAACCGCACGAGCTTTGCAGAAGACGTGGGTTGCCTTCTGCCCGTGTCTTCCTTCTTCCGGCTTCCTCCTCACAACAAGGTGCCCGTGGCTACCCTCAGTCCAGGTGGACGGCGCACCTGCTGGGAGCAGACACCTGGGTCACAGCCGGCTTGGCCGCTGACCGCTGTGTGACCTTGGCCAAATCCCTGCCTTGCTATAGGCCTCAAGTGAAATTAGAAATTTGCTAAAGACCGTTTCCTCCATGAAATCCTGTGGGTTTTTTGTTTTTGTTTGTGTGGCAGGTTTATCAGGCCATGATAGGTGAGAGGTTCTTACTGGGGGAAAGTCCCAGAATAATGGTAGAGTGGGAGCCGGGAAATAAAGGAGAAACAGACGCCAGGACAAAATCTCGTGAACCTTGAGAGGGCGGCAGTTCTTGGGCCACAGAGGCTGGGTGGGAGAGGAGAGAATGCTTTTTCACTTCCTTTCCCTTCCATGGTGGAAGCAAGCTGGCCACAGTGTGGGCGGCGGCCCCTTCCTGCCCGGCAATTCCCTCCTCAAGCCGCAGGCCCTGCTCGATTTTTGTGGATCGTCCTGGGGTGTGAGCTCCACTCTCTTGCTTCCACACTGGCTCGGGGCAGCCTTGACCATGCTCGGGGGAGATCAGCGCTGTCTCGCCACGGGAGTGAGCTCCCTGGTGCCCCCGAGCCCCCACCGCGTCCCCCTGGGGTGGGACGGACAGTTCGTCTGGAAACGTAGAGTCGCCCCGCCACAGGTGGCTCAAACAGTGGAGGTGAAGACAGGCCGCAGGTGGGCCTCACACCCGCACGCCCTCAGCGATGCTGTGTGTGCCCCCCCCACCCGTGCCTTCCTAGCCAGGAGTGGGGCCCTCTGCTGTGCCCCAGTGTGACTGCCAACATGTGCCTTTCGGGGGCTCTTAGGACTCTGCCCCGCCCCCAGTAGCCTGTCTGAGAGGCTGAGGCCCAGACGGGAGAAACTGGTGGCCATTCACCTGGTGGGGGCAGCCATTTTCTCCCGCTGTTGGGCGCGCTATGTAACCGAAGTGACCTCGGATTACGTCCATCAGAGGAAATAAGGTTCTGCTTGAAGACCAGCCCGGAGGGTTTCTCAGAAGAAACCCCTTGCCTCTGGGGTCTGCTGCAGAGAAAACCCAGGGATGCGGGGTTTTCCTCAAACTCCGAGGGGTGAAGAGAGAGGGTGGCAGAGAGAGAGGAGTGCTCGGTGTCTCGGGTGGCGTGGCCTTGGCTGGCTTCGTTTGGGGGAACCATTTTTAATCGATTAGCGCTCTCAAGTGGCTCCTGTCAGTGTGGTTGGGATTTCCTTTCCGGAAGCTTCTCTGCAGCCCCCTGATTATCTGTGCCTGGCCGGGTTAGACAGGGTTGCGCCGCGCGTCCTACGCGGAGGGAAATACACAGCATTGGGCTGAAACCGACACAGGCCTCCGGTTCGCTGCTCGCGGAGGCTGTTGGCTGTTTAACGAGTCTGGCAGTTTGGGCCCTGAGCTGTTTGAGATGTGGTTTCGTTAAGCGGGGCTGCTTTTAAAAGGAACGTCCAGTGCCATCTGTGCCAAATCTGGTTTTGTGCTGTCCTGAAACGTCTACCGTGAGCCTCAGGGGAATTGTAAACCTTTCAGAAAAACTCCAAAAGCAAGTAAATTAGAATTAAACTTTGGGTCATGGAAACAGGCATTTGGCTAAAGGGTAGCCAGTGTAGGGCCAGGAAAGGAAGGTTGCTGTCAGTGATGGGGGGGCTAGCTTTCCAGGGAGGGTCAGCCGCCGTCCCGGGGCCCGGGGAAGGCTGCTCAGGCTCCTGCAGAGGAAGAAGAGCCTACGCCACGTGGGCCAGGCTCCACTCAGCCCCAGACTTCAACAGCTGCAGCTCCTGATTCTCGAGATTTTCCACGGGGCTGGTTTGGGGCAGGGATGGAGGGGGAGGAGCAGACACGGGGACTGTGGGGGACAGAGCCGGTCTCCTCGTTGAATCCAGGAAACCCGATCTGTGAAGACTGGTCTCCCCCCCCACCCAGTCCCCAAGGCCTGGCGGCCCTCTGGTTGTGGGTGGGGGTGGCCAGCCCGGCCTGCCACGTGTCAGGGTGCTGGGGGAGGGGGAGCTGCATGAAGCAGGTGCGGAGCTGGCGGGAGCTGTCCCAGGTGTCCCCGCCCCCACATGCACTCTGCACTGAGTTACTCTGTCCCCAGTCACCTAACCAGCCCCCTGAAGCCACCAAGAACTTCAGTCATAAGCAGGGGGTCTGGGCCTGGAAGCAGGAATGCCAGGTGGAGGCTTCCTTGGAAGGGGCTCGGGTCAGGCCCTCCCGTCTCTGCAAGGAGAGGGCTCGTTGGGAGCCAGAAAGTAGGGAGCTGTTTTCACTTCCCAGGGGACTAAGCGGGGACAGGCGGCTAGCGGGGCCTGAGGGAGCCGTGCAGGCCGGATGTCCTCCGCCCAGCCAAGGCCAACGGCAGTTCTGACTGTGGACCCCCCTCTCTGGGTGTGGCTGTGTGGGCTCCTGGGGCTGGAGGTGGGGAAGAGCGACCCCCAGGCAGGGGCACATGCTGGGGGGGGGGGGGGTCCAGGGACAAGGGCCTCAAGTCCGAAAGAGGTAGGGCGGCGTTGAGGCGGGACCTGAGGCTCCCCGGGGGGGGGGGGTAGGTGCTCGGAGGGCCGGCGGCTGGTGCAGGAGGCGTTCGCGGCTCAGGCAGGCGAGGCAGTGTCCCCGCTCGTGTTTGAGGCCCATAATCGTCATTCCAGGTCTGGCAGAGGGATGCGTGGGGCGCTTTGGGTCCAAGGGACTCTCTTCTGGAAGGAGAGCTGACGCGGCCGTCCTGGAGGAGGAGGAACCAGCCAGGCCGAGCAGGACCGGGCCGCCCCGAACGAGAGCGTGGGGGGGACATCATGAGAGGCAGTGAATGGAAGCTTTTCCCTGTCTTCTGTGCGCAGTCTCCCTCTCTCCCTCTCTCTCTCTCTCTTTCTCTCATTTTGCTGTTTTTTTGCTATTTCGTGCCAGTGTAAGTGAAGAAATACTAAAAATCCAAATTATTCGCATGAGTTTTACCATTCACATTTACATTGTGAAACGTCAGTTTCAAATGCAAATGTAAGATCTTTTAAGTGCTTCGTGGAAGTCTCCAGAATGACCCAGTTCCTCCGTCGCAGCTCCTTCGTGCACGTGGAGTCTGTTCTTAGCAGAACGGCGAGAGGCCCCACGGAGCCAGCTCGGCTGTTTTGTCTTACTTCTCGATAAGCGCACGCGTTGGCAACACTACCTTCCGCCCGCGGAGTGAGGGGAAGGCTAAAAAGACAGGCTGTTAGTTGTTGGCTGATCCCAGGAAGTAACACAGCAGTAATACAGGGCTCTTCACTCGGTTTTTCACGTTTCTGAAAGCGCCACTCTCTTCTACGTTCAGATAAGTTGTGGCTCTGGGAGAAAGTGTGGCCTCTGGGGCCGTGGGTCCCCTTTGCTCCGCTGCGAGGCAACACGCTCCCCTGAGTCTGGCTGAACTCCCCCCCCTGCCGGGCACAGTGGGTCCCCCCAGAACCCTGTGTCCGTCAGGCCTCGCCAATGCCGTATGCAAACAGGTGACGAGGCAGGCAGACACATGTTTGTCGCGTGCTCCTGTGCACACTCATGCACTCCCCGGTCCTGTCAGACCTCGCTTCTAGAACACCGGGTCATGGGTCACATCATTGAGAGCGTCAGGATGGGGCCGGCAGAGCATTAAACCCCGGGCAGCCCCTTCCTAGTGAGGGCCCTCGGTGATGGCACAGAGGTCACAGGCCCCGAAGGCGCCCCGGGCAGGCACCCGGGCACACAGGCCGCTAGTATGGGCCAGAGCCCTCGAACCGGCGGCCTGCAGGCCGAGTTCATCAGGCTGTTTTCATAGTTGCGTCAGGTCAGCCGCCACGGCCTCTGTTGCTGCCTGTCGTCCCACAGCCCCTGCGTCACCTGTTTCCGTCCCCGCCTGGTCCCTGGAGCCACCTGAGTTTAGGAACTCCGAGTGGGGGGTGGGGTGGGCCGCAGGAGGACCCATGTGCCAGGACAGGGGCTGACCTGCTTCCCACGGTGGCTGGTGATGGCGGAGTTTTGGGTTTAAGCAGAAAACAGCTCATGACCACAGGGCAGGGGGAGGTGGAAGGGGGCAGAGAGGCCTGCGGGGTAACTGGAGTGACTCCAGAAAGAGGCAGTGAGGTCTGAACTCAGCCGGGGTGGGGGGGGGAGGCGGGGAGGGGAAGGCGGGGACAGGAGAGGTGGGAGACAGCCACCTGCGGCTGGGGGAGGGGGGACAGCAGGGACCAGAGACCCTGGTGTGCGACCTGGTGGTGTGTCCGTGCCTTCCTGTGGGGTGCGAAGTGCGAGCGCCGCAGGCTGTCCCCTGACGCAGATGGATTCCCGTCAGTCTGGTGAGGCCTGTGGAGCTGGGAAGAGGCACAGGGGGCGGATGTCCAGTGCGCATTTGGATGTGCTCAGAAACGAGCCCCGGGCCGGGTCCCCGGGCGGAGCTGAGGTTTGCCCGGGGGCCGCAGGACGTGCAGGGGGGGGCTCAGAGTGCCACACTGAGGATAAAAGTGCAGGGCGGGCAGGGGGAGGCCAGCCTGGGAGCTGGGGAGGTTGGACCGGGGTAGGGGTGGGGGGCAGGGGGAGGCCAGCCTGGGAGCTGGGGGTGCAGGACCGGGGCAGGGGTGTGGGGGCGGCCAGCCCGGGAGCCGGGGAAGCAGGACGGGGGGGGGCAGGAGAGAGCACGGGGAGAGCCAGCAGGGAGGGCGCTGGCCACCGGGGTCCGGGGTGTCGGGGATGCCCCCACGCCCCTGTGGGGACCCTGCCCCGTGAGCACCAGGGCTGAGAGCCTGGCGGGGGGGAGGGGGTTCTCTGCAGATTCAGGATGGAGAGGTTACGGGCGGGTTTCCGTGCTGAGGGGGAGAAGCGCCTCCTTTTCAGACCCTGGGCCCCGAGCAGTAGAGCCAGCGGACTGGCAGAGGTTCAAGGGCTGACGCCTGCGGAGTGCTTCGGACACGTTCGCTGTCCCTGAGCGCGGGGGACCCTTGTGACGTGAGTCACGGACAGCCCGCCTTCTCTGTGGCTCCCCTGAACTACCTCCCAGCTTTCTCTCCTCGTCCTTGAAGAGAGTGAACACGAGTGTCTTATCTCCAAGGCCGACAGGGGCCGCCAAGGGCAGGCGCGTCTGAACGGCCCCGACTCTCGGGCCGCGGTCATGGGTCCGGGCTCGTGGTTTTACTGACCTTGAACCTGTTTTCAAGGACTCTGAAACCACGCACGTCTGCCCGCTGTTTCTGCCCTCCTGCTGCCCAGGGTCGCTCTCTCTGAGGTCTAACTATCTCTCTGAGGTCTAACCCCCGTCTAACTATCCACGAGGGAGGCTGGCCTCCAGAGCCAACTCCATGTGCCTCAGTGTCCCTCGTCTCCTCTAACAAATTACCACAAACCCAGCGGCTTAAACAACGAAAGTGTACTCTCTGGCCGTTCTAGAGGCAAGAAGTCTGACATGAGTCTTACCAGGGCTAAAATCAAGGTAACGGAGCGCTGGGAGGCTTCAGGGAGGACCCACATCTCTCCTTTCCGGGTCCGGGAAGCTGCTGGAGTTCCCCGCCTTGCGGCCGCATCCCTCTTGCTTCCTCTCGGCAAATCTCCCACCTCCCTGTTATAAGGGGACTTGCTGTGCCCATTGAGGGCTCGCCCCGGCATCCGCCATCTCCGGATCTTTGATGTAATCACACCTGCACTGTCCCTTTTGCCATATTGGGTCTCCTTCACTGGTTCCGGGGACTAGGACCCGGGCATCTCTGGGGCCACCATCGGAGTGGATTCTCCGAGCACCTTTGTGAAGTAGGCAGAGCATGTGTGATGCTCGCTATTCTGCAGAAGACATTAAAGCTGTGACATTCTGGAGGTAACACAGACTTTGGGGTCAGGAGCAGGGCCAAGACCAAGGCCAGACCTCTGGCTCCAAACCTGGGGCAGATTCTAAGCCCCCCACCCCCAGCCCCAGCCCCACCCCTGCCCCGGGAGCTGCTGCCGAGCCTCCCGACTGAGACAGGGCCTGTAGGGATTTAGGGGGCTGCCCAGGGCACCTAGTGTTTCAAGACTCAGAGGAGTCCTGGCTCCTGGGGGCTCATGGGCAGTTTCAGAGAGGCGTCACAGCCCCGGCAGCCCCTTGACAGAAACCCCTGACCCCCCGGCCCCCTGCAGCCCAATCAGTGGGTTCTGGGATGGGGGAGGGGCTGCCCTGCCTCTGAGACAGGGAGTCAGAGTCCTCGCCGGGCTTTGCCAGGGGGAAGGGGGCACATGGAACGCCCCTCCCGGGGGATGGCCCCCGAGGACGTGCCCCCGCACAGAGGAAGGCGGCCTCCCCACCTATCAGCCTGCTCAGCGCCAGGGGAGGAGATGTTTTCCATCGGACACTCGGCCAGAGCTTTCTGGTTTATTGTCTCGAACAGACCGAGCTCAGACGGGGGGGGGGGGGTGACGCGTGGCCGACGGAGACCGAGTCCCTCCCCGCTCTGTCAGATCAGGACCTAACGAACCCCACACGGGGCAGCCTGAAGCCTGCCTCCCGCCGCCCCAGGCCCAGAGCCAAGGGCACCATGCCTGCTGGGGCCTGCCAGCCTGAGCGCCTTCCTCTCTCAGGGAGGCACCGGGTGGGACGGACCCGAACAGTTTGGAAATGGGGGCGGCCTGGAACCGAGAGGACTTGGTTTTGGTCGCAGGCGAACGTCAGGGACCGATTATTCCTATCACCGTCGCCGCGCACGCCAGTCTTGATGGAAGGTGGGGGTGTTCTGGTCCCAGCTGCGGGGAGGAGCAGGGTGGGGGTGGTGTGAGGGCTGGGTTCCCCCTCCCACCCCCTCCCCAACCCGCCGGGGCGGGGCAGAAAGGGCACGTGTCCTCAGCGGCCGCCCGTCGTCATGGTGTCTGGGAGGCCACACTCACCGCACGATGTACCTAGTAAGCATGGCAGGCTCCCTACTCGGTCTAGAACAGCGTGGCTCCGGTGACCTTCTAGGGCCCCTCCTGGGCACGAGGTGGCTCCAAAGAGCCCGTCAGGAGTACGTGCTGAGCTCCTGTCCCACGAAGGCAGACTTGGCTTAGAAGGGGCGCCGATGCCCAGAGCAGCTCCTTACATGGAGCTTGGTCCCCTGTCCTCCCACTTCGCCACAAGGGGACCCTGACATCTTGCCCACCATGGCGACAGGGGCATGGGCTTGAGGACAGCTCTCCAGGCCCCAGCGGGTGGGCCTCAGGGGGACCGGCCTGGCCCCAGACAGCCGGGGCCAAACCCCTCGGGCAGCGCAGCGGCCGGTGGGCCCTGAGTTCCTGTCACAGACGGCAGGGGCTCAGCTCTGGTCCGGCTTCCCCGGCCGCCGGGTGTCCGCCCAGACGCTGCACCCCAAGGACCGCGGAGGAGGAGTGCGCCCCAGCCCGCCTCCCTCCGAGCACGGGTTCCACGTGGGGGTGACCTGGAGAGCGGAGGGGGAGGCACCAGGGTCCCGGGAGGGGCTCGTTCACGGCACGGTGGGAACAGATGGAATGCGGTGGAAGTAGAGAGGTTTCCCCAGGAGGGTGTGGTGTCAGAAGGGAGCGCTGGAGCCTGGATCCTTGAGGGAGGGGTGTGTAGGGCTGCCGCCTGCAGCCGGGGGGGGGCGGGGGGGACACGCAGCCGCAGCCGGTGGCTCCGTGTGAGGAGTGAGTAGAGCGCCGGACCAACGGGCGGAGGTGTGGACGATGTCCAGGCGTCCAGACTCCAGGCAGCCAGGCCGCTGAGGCCCGCACGGGGTCACACCCGGGTGGCAGGGGCCACCGGCGTCAGGTCCTCCTTCATCCCTGCCCCTCGTCCCTCTGTCCCCCGTCAGGAAGGTGCAAGGACACCCTGTCCACCATCACGGGGCCGACCACCCAGAACACATACGGGCGGAACGAAGGGGCCTGGATGAAGGACCCGCTGGCCAAAGACGAGCGGATTTACGTCACCAACTATTACTACGGCAACACCCTGGTGGAGTTCCGGAACCTGGAGAACTTCAAACAAGGTAGGGGTCGTGGGGCCCCTCGCGGTGCCTTCCCCGCCCCGGCTTCCGTCGCGGCCAGATCGCCTCCTCGGGAAGGGGGGGTGGCAGACGAGAAGGGCCACACCACCTTGCGATGGTGAGAGGTCCTTCCTGGTCGCGGGAGGGTCCACTTCTGTGCGCCCTGCGTTCCCTGCCCCCGGCTCCTGGGTCGTGGACTGGGGGTGGGGCGGTGGCAGGAGGCCAGCGGTGACAGGCCCTCCTCCTCCCCGAGCAGGGGACAGTGCGGGGGCTGGGCTCCCGTGGGTTGGCGCCCTGGGTCTGGACACCGCCGGGCGAGGGGAGTGGGCGTCCTCTCCGGGCGGGCGGAGGCTCAGGAAGGTGAAGCCGTTTGCTCCACGAAACCAGAAAGCGGCAGAGCGGAGACACAGCCCCAGGGTCCGCACCCCTAGCCGGTCCCGTCACACTGCCCGCCCCCCGCCCCCCTGCAGGTCGCTGGAGCAATTCCTACAAGCTGCCCTACAGCTGGATTGGCACGGGCCACGTGGTGTACGACGGCGCCTTCTACTACAACCGCGCCTTCACCCGCAACATCATCAAGTACGACCTGAAGCAGCGCTTCGTGGCCGCCTGGGCCATGCTCCACGACGTGGCCTACGAGGAGGCCACGCCCTGGCGGTGGCAGGGCCACTCGGACGTGGACTTCGCCGTGGACGAGAACGGCCTGTGGCTCATCTACCCGGCCCTGGATGAGGAGGGCTTCAGCCAGGAGGTGATCGTCCTGAGCAAGCTCAATGCCGTGGACCTGAGCACGCAGAAGGAGACCACGTGGCGCACGGGGCTGCGGCGGAACCTGTACGGCAACTGCTTCGTCATCTGCGGGGTGCTGTACGCCGTGGACAGCCACGACCAGCGCAACGCCAACATCTCGTACGCCTTCGACACGCACACCAACACGCAGATCGTGCCGCGGCTGCTGTTCGAGAACGAGTACTCGTACACCACCCAGATCGACTACAACCCCAAGGACCGCCAGCTGTACGCCTGGGACAACGGCCACCAGGTCACCTACCACGTCATCTTTGCCTACTGACGCCCGGCCCGCGTGCGGAGTGTGTGCGTGCGCGCGCGTGTGTGGATGGCTGCGTGTGGTTTAAGAAATCTATATTATTTTGTATGATGTTGCGGGTGTAAAAGGACAGTTTGGGTCTATTTTTTTGTTTTGTTTTGTTTAAAGTGGATTGTAGAGCAATCCACACGTGTATGTGCTGGTCTCACCCTCCACCGTTTAGATTTTCGCGCAAATGAACTTCTCCTGACCAGGAACCACCTTCCTTCCAGCCCTCAGCCCCTCCGGCTCCGGGATGGTAGCCATCGGGGTCTTGCCGGCCGACGGCCCTCCCGGAGCAGGGGTGAAGGAGGCGAGAAAGAAGTGTTAAGGGGCGGGAAAATTTTTATGTATTGGAGAAGTTTTAAAAACCCAGAAAAATGCTTTTTTTTTAAATAAAGAGGAAACGTAAAACCACCCCCTGCCCCCCAACGTGTTTTTGTTCAGCATGGCTGTGCCCTGCAGGGTGGATCCTGTCGCTGGGAACAGAGCCCCCTCCCCTGCTCAGTCCGCCTCCCCCTCCTCATCCTCGTGGTGAAGGTTCACCCTTCCCCTCGGGAGACAGCCGGCTCTGAAAGCAGCACCCCTGCAGGGAAGTGGGGGGGGCCAGGCCCCTGTTGGGGGAGCAGCGGCCTGGAGGGTCCTTCCCAGAGACCTCCGGCACCTCCTCCGCACCCACATGCGGCCCGGGCCCCAGCCCTGCACTGCCATCGCCCCCACCCGCCCTCAGCGCCCTCCACTTCCACCCTTTCCAGAGTGACTTCTCTCTGTCCTGGGCCGTCTGGGTCAAGTTCCCTCAGCAAGTGTAAGTGATCGTCAGGTCTGGGGGCAGCAGGAGGGTCAGAGAGAGATAGGTGGGGTGGCCAGGGCTCGAACAGATGGCGGATGGTGCCCGTGTCCACAGCCCCATTTGGCCAGGGGAGGGGACAGGTGTCTGGCCACGCCCACTCGGCCAGGGGAGGGGGACAGGTGAGACCGCCCCAGAGACTGAAGCCCCAGCAGGGCGGCCCTGGGGGCTCAGGGTGGCGGAAACTCTTATCCGTCCGTCCAGGTAAAGTGATGTGGTGACAGCTGCGGGCCTGCTGGACCAGGACTTGTCCCACCTCCCACTCCTCCCGGCGGCCACTCCTCCCACCGCCCACGCCTCTGGTGGCCGGGCCACAGCGGGACATTTGCCCCCCCCCAGCTGTGCCTCGCCCTCGGCTCCTTGCTGCGTCCTCAGGCGCCAGGGCTTCCGGGACGGCCTCCTCCCCGGGCCTCGGTGCTAACCTGAACGCTGGCCCGCCCTGGTCCCCGCTTCCTGGCCAGGGTGGCCTCCGGGGCTGAGCGCGGGGACCAGCACCCAGGGGCAGTCGGAAGTGGTCGGGGCTCAGTCGGGGCCCAGCTGTGGTGCAGAAGCAGTAGCTCTGAGGGGCCCAGCTCACAAGGTGTGGGCGCAGGGTCTCGGGACACAGGTCGCGCCCTGGCAAAGCCGGGCCAGCCCAAGAGGCCTCCGGGTGGCAGTGGGCGGCGGCCCCGCCTGGGCAGGGGGTGGCTGCCCTGACTGGCCACGCTGGGTCTGGGGGCCCCGGGGGGAGGTGGTCAGCTGAGGGGGGGGAAGGGCCGGTCCCCATCCCCTCGCTGACTCTGGGAAACACCTGGCCACGCACCCTAGGGTCCCCCCAGCCGGGGCTCCTGAGAGCCCCGTCCCGACCCCTCAGTGGGGCGTCCCCACCCGCTGAGCTTCCAGGACACCGGCCCCTGGGACACCAGCTGCAGCTCATGTGTGTGAGCTCATCACCCTCGGGCCAGCCGCCCACTCGGGCCAGGTGAGCCGCTGCCCACAGGCCGCAGGGAGGGAGAAGGGGAAGGGGCGGTGGGCCGTGGGCGGAGTGACCGCAGCTCCGAGGCCGGTGGTCGGAAGCCGCTTCCCTGAGCGCAGGCAGGACTCCCCAGGCCACTTCCTCATCCCAAGATCCAACTTCGGAAATACGAAGAATCAGAGGGTGAGTTTCTCAGACAGTTCAGGAGGCCGAGGAACGGCTGGTAAGTTCCGACCTTGGGCTTGCCCTCAGCTGCAGGAGAGGGGGGCCCTCGGCCTTCAGACCTGCTGACTAGTCTCCTCTGAGCTCTGCAACCCCTTACAGTGACAAAGACAGATTTACACTTGACCCTCCAACAGCACGGACCCCCCCACCCCCATACAGTTGAGAGTCCACGCGTAACTATTGACTCCCTCAAAACGTAGCTATTAATAGCCTACCAGTAACACAAGCAGTTGATTAACACCTATTTGCTGTGTTGTGTGTATTATGTTGTTACAGTCACGGAAGCCAGAGAAGAGAACACGTTAAGGAAACGTAGGGAAAGTAGACTGACGGTGCTGGACTGTAGCGGAAAAAAATACACTCGCTGAGTTCAAACCCGTGTTGTTTGAGGGTCAAGTGTACTTTTCTCCCTATTACAGTACTTCCGAACAGCGTAATTTTCTAAAGTAGAGAAAGAAATGACCATCCCTGTTTTTACATTCACTTATTCATGTATGTGCATGTTTTCCTTCAACAAATGTTCACGGAGCCTCCGTTGGAGGTCCCGAGGCCCAGGGCGAAGTCCTGACTTCAGGGTGCTTCTGTTCTAGAGCAGAAGAGAGAGGAAATGCGTTTCTGTGGGAGGTGATGGCCATAGTCTCTAGCAGGGAAAGGATCCAGAGAAAAATGGGAGAAGGGGAGGGCGTGGCGGCTCAGAGAAAGTCTGTGCGATGAGGGGACGTTTGGGCAGAAGCAGGAGATGGGGGGTGCCCAGCCTGCAGACCTCCGGAGGCTGGCAGCGCGGGGGAGGGCGGAGGGGAGCGGGGGAGGGGGCGGGGTCCCCAGGGTCCCCAGGCACTCAGTGAAGCCACCGCACCTGCAGCCTCCCCAGCACCGCGGGTGGGAGCTTCCTTGTGCCGCCACCTCATGCGCCAACACCCCTGAGCGTAATTGGGTGACGGTGGCCTGTTTCCCACCTGCTACTGCGCGCAGTGAGGCCAGAGGGAACCGTGCCCCGTGCCTGGCGTGAGTCCTGACTCCCGGGTTTGGCACTCGTGTGACCTGGAGTCAGGCTCTCGGAGCCTGGCTGGCATCTGTCAAAAGGAGCACATTCTGCGCACATGGGGAGTACGTTCACGGAAGATTCAGGTAAGGCAGTGCAAGGAGCATACATGAAAAATACTGGCCATTATCACCCCCCAAAGCTAACATCCTTGATTCCTCAAGTCTGCTCTTCCTTTGGGCTTCCCTTGATGGTCCCCTGGCCCCCTGGGACATACCTTGAGGACCCTTTTTTTAAAAAAAAAATGTTTATTTTTAGATCGAGAGTGAGCAGGAGCAGGGGAGAGGTGGAGAGAAAGAATCCCCAGCAGGCTCTGAGCTGTCTGCACAGAGCCCAACACGGGGGCTTGAACTCACAAACCCTGAGATCATGACCTGAGCTGCCCCGCTGTGAACTATTGTTAAATCTCTTTGAGTCTAGAATAGTTCCCTGCTGCTCTGCCCCTTTTCATTCATGCCATTGATTTGCTGAAGAAACAATGCTGGTTTTTTGGCAGAATATCCCTTGCTGACATCACCTGATTGCTTCCTTCAACTATTTCCTTTGTTCCTCTCTCTCCTGTTTTTCCTTTAAACAAGAAGTTAGAGCTGTGAGTTTGACCTCCAGGTTCAGTATTTTTGGCAAAAAGGCCTTCAATGGTGATGCCGTGCAGTGGGTACTTGGTATTTTCTGTATTTGCCCTACGATTGCTGTTGACCTTCTCCAGCCTCCCCACCCTTCGATGGAGTTTCACACCCTATATCAGCCCACCTGCCTCCTGGGTCCCCTCCCACAAGTCTGTCGAGCCCACTGCTGACAGATGGATCTTGCGTTGATGATGTCCCTGTGACCGTCAGGCTGATCAGGAATGCCTCAGGGGGCTATAATCATTAAGCAACTTTTTTTTTTTTTTTTTTTTTGCCCTTGACCGGAGGAAAGCATCTCCATGCTGCCTGGTTCCCCTCCCCTGCTTAAAATCTCTTCCCTCTAAACTGGACCCAAGAGACCCCACGTGTGGCCACTTGGATTGGAGCTAAGAGACTCCACATGTGGCCACTTGGATCGGACATAAGAGACCCCACGTGTGGCCAAATCTGGTCCGCAGACAACCTCCACACATTATTTATCCTGAAAGTGGTGGCCCCCACTAAGTTGTCTTTGCTGAAAAGTAACAGCCAGCCTACCTCCCCTGCTTCCCAGCCTGTCCCAAACCCTGAGTTAGTCACTCATCCGCCGTGACCTCCAAACTATAAGGAACGTGGATTAAGTGACTCAGTGGGTCCGCTTAAAGCTCTCCTCGCTTAACCTTGAGGAGACCAGCAGGCTCGCCCCGCCCCAGGGGAAGAGTAGGGATCCAAGAAGCTCTCTCCAAAGGAATCCTCTTCAAACATCCTCTTTAAAAAACATCCAACTCCATTTTTTATTTTGCACTTTTAATGTGGGTGAAGAGTTTAAAAGTCCCTACCCAGTTCCGGACATCACCTCGGCGAACACAAGGCACCATCCGGCCCCTTCTCTGGAACATGAGGTCCAGTGTCTCAGGGGGCGGGGGGCTGAAAGCTACCCACTTCCTGTAACCCCGCCAGGCTCCGCCCTCCAAGAACACCTTCCCCACCCCACCCCCACACTTAGACTGTCTTCAGAGCTGCCCCCCCACCAAGGCGGTCTCCTCAATCCCCCAGACAGGGCAGCAGGAGCCCGTAGCCCGGGACGCTGCGCAGGGCACATGGAGGGTCTTGGATTGTGACTTTCTAAGACTGCAACTCAAGATGAACATTTGCTTTCTGAGAACGTTCTCCCCTTCCGCACGAATTCCTTAGCACCCATATCTTTAGGAGTTGTGGCTTGTTAGCAACAGGAAGACTTTCGTTAGCGTAAACTAAAGAGATTTTATTGGAAAGAATCTGGCAAGTTCACAGACCCCAGGAAAACCTGGGAACTCAAGATCTGGGAAAGAAAGAACTAGGTCACGTCTGGGGCTCTGGGTCGCTGGACATGGGGAGTCGTCTGGAGGTACGACCGACTCTCCTGTAGCTGCCCCCCCCCCCCGCCCCAGTGTCTCCATTTCCAGTTGCAGACTTCCAGGAGAGGGACAGTCCACAGCCTGCCTCCCTAAGGAGGCGGGGATTCTGTGCTTGACAGCTCCGCTGACGGTCACACCAAGTGAGGAAGGGCCACACCCCTAGGTGAAGGGCCACCCAGCAGACAAAGGCAAAAAACAAAACCAGAAGTTGGCTACAAAGATCTTCCCATGCGGCGCCTGGCGTCTGGGGGGCTCAGTCAGTTAAACATCTGACCTCGGCTCAGGTCATGATCTCACGGTTTGTGGGTTGGAGCCCCACTTCCGGTTCTGTGCTGACAGC